AGTTATGGGTATTTTTACTGAAGTACATTTCAAAGTTCTTTACTTTTACTTGAGTAAAGAAGTTTAGTCAGTACTTCTACTTTCACCAGAGTATCTTTAAACACGAGTCGTGTACTTCTACTTGAGTAAAGGATGTGTGTACTTCTACTTGAGTAAAGGATGTGTGTACTTCTACTTGAGTAAATGATGCGTGTACTTCTACTTGAGAAGTTAACTGATAGAAGAAGAAGTTAACTGTTAGCAGTAGAAGCTAACTGTCAGCAGTAGAAGGAAACTGTTAGCAGTAGAAGCTAACTCTTTGCAGTTGAAGTTACGTTTTAGCACTGGAAGCTAAGTGTTAGCACTGGAAGCTAAATGTTAATTTAAACATTGGTTCGTTACACAACCACCGGGATCTTTCTGGTTGAATAAATGCTGAATACATGAGAAGCAGAGTCAGAGCAGTATTCCTGTAACCCCTCCTCTGTGTTCAGGGCCAGTTTGCTAAGTTTAAGAAGTACGTGGGTCACAGCTCCAACGTGACGAACGTGCGCTGGTCCAACGACGACTCGCTGCTGCTGTCGGTGGGGGGGGGCGACACGGCGCTGATGATCTGGACCCGAGAGCCAGGAGGAGGCCACAAGGAGAGCAGAGAGAGCCGAGCTGTGGACAGCGAGGAGTCCGACGACGATCCGGAGGAGGACGGGGGTGAGCTCTTATTCTGAAGGCCTGACTTTTGAGAAGTTTCTACATTCAGAGCTTTTATTCTGAAAAAGGGACAGTTGTTTATACTAGGGAGAAGTTTCCTCCTTCAGAGCTTTTATTGTGAAAATCTGACCTGATATCTAATGAGAGAAGTTCCAACATTACAAGCTTTTATTCTGAAAATCTAACCCTTTAATTGTTAAGAAAAGTTTCTGCCTTCAGAGCTTTTATTCTGAAAAACTGAACTTTTTCCACAGGATCGGAATCAGAAATCCTTTATGATGTTGACTATAGCAGCTGACGTACTCTAACTAAACGGACAAAATGTAAACGGACAAAATGACAGACAAATAAGAAGGGCAGAAATGAAGCGTGGGTTAAATCTGCCCTCAGTTTGTCCTGACAGGACCTGGCTGTGGGTTAAATCTGCCCTCAGTTTGTCCTGACAGGACCAGGCTGTGGGTTACATCTGCCCTCAGTTTGTCCTGACAGGACCTGGCTGTGTTTTAGGCTACGACAGCGACGTGGCGCGGGAGAAAGCGGTGGATTACATCACTAAGATCTACTCTGCGAGCATCAGGAACATGACGGGAACCAGACCTCACCTTCAGCACCGAGAAGTGCCTGTGGAGGAGAGGTACACGCACGCACGCACGCACACACGCACACACACACACAGTTTACTGAATCCTGTTTCTTGTTTCCTGCTTCCTGTTTCCTGTCTCCTGCCTCCTGCTTCCTGTCTCCTGCTTCCTGTTTCCTGCCTCCTGTTTCCTGCCTCCTGTTTCCTGCCTCCTGCCTCCTAATTCCTGCCTCTTGTTTCCTGCGTCCTGCTTCCTGTCTCCTGCTTCCTGCCTCCTGCGTCCTGGTTCCTGCCTCCTGCGTCCTGCCTCCTGCTTCCTGCCTCCTGCGTCCTGCTTCCTGCCTCTTGCTTCCTGCCTCCTGCTTCCTGCCTCCTGCGTCCTGTCTCCTGCTTCCTGCCTCCTAATTCCTGCCTCCTGTCTCCTGCTTCCTGCCTCCTGCCTCCTGCGTCCTGCCTCCTGTCTCCTACTTCCTGCCTCCTGCAGGCCTCCAGTGAGTCGTGCTGCTCCGCTGCCTGAGAAGCTTCTGAAGAACAACGTGAGCAAGAAGAAGAAGCTGGTGGAGGTCAGTGCTTCATGTTATTCAGTAATCATTGAGTGAAATCTGTCCCCCCCTCTCAGTGGGGTTGAAAGGTTTATCTTTTGTTCCTGGAGTTCAAAGCATTATTTCCAACTGTTCTCAAGATAAGATAAGACTTTATTTATCTCGAAGAAAATTGTTGTGCCAGAGTTACAAAAATACAATAAACACAGCAGCATGATAAGATCCCAGAGAGACTCAGGATGCTGAGAGGTCCCAGAGAGACTCAGGATGCTGAGAGGTCCCAGAGAGACTCAGGATGCTGAGAGGTCCCAGAGAGACTCAGGATGCTGAGAGGTCGAGACTCAGGATGCTGAGAGGTCGACTCAGGATGCTGAGAGGTCCCTGAGAGACTCAGGATGCTGAGAGGTCCCTGAGAGACTCAGGATGCTGAGAGGTCCCTGAGAGACTCAGGATGCTGAGAGGTCCCAGAGAGACTCAGGATGCTGAGAGGTCCCTGAGAGACTCAGGATGCTGAGAGGTCCCTGAGAGACTCAGGATGTTGAGGTCCAGAGACTCAGGATGCTGAGAGGTCCCAGAGAGACTCAGGATGCTGAGAGGTCCCTGAGAGACTCAGGATTTGAGAGGTCCCAGAGAGACTCAGGATGCTGAGAGGTCCCTGTAAAGGATGTGTGTACTTCTACTTGAGTAAAGGATGTGTGTACTTCTACTTGAGTAAAGGATGCGTGTACTCTAACCCTCTC